CCCACAGCCGTTATTCAGCCGTTCTCAGCACTACCTGAAACACCTCCATCGCTCAGGACCCGTCCTGGCTGAGGCAGCAGGAGGAACAGATCTTGACAGTGCCTTCCAGCAATGAACACACAAAAGAGATAAATACTTTTAAATCCTTTAAATGGTAACAACTCACACAGTTCCAGTGCAGAACCTGGTGATCTACCAGGCAAAAAGCACTCCAAGGGCAAAGCCTCACTCATCTCCTTGCACTGCTCTCCTTGAGGAACAGGGAGGGGATGAGCAACAGGCTAAGGGGAATTCCTCCCTCTAACATGCTCAGAGAGTTGCCAGTGTCTGACATTAAGCAATTGGCATCCTCTAGCACAAGAAAAGCAAAAAAAAAAAAAAAAAAGAGGTTGTATAAATATTTCCTTCTCCTTCTCCCTCACTGAAAAGCAGCCCTGAAACAGCTCAGGCAGCTCTGGGAAACGCCGACCAGCACAAAATCACAAGCCGGCCGTAGGACTCACAGCTTTACTGCCCTGTGAGAGAGCCCTTCTGCATCTTCCTACAGGCCTTCCAGCCTCAGAGCAAAGTGGTTTCACCAGGGAGTCCCTCCTCACCACACCTGCAAGCTTCTCAGCCTGCACATACCAGCACATGGACACACCTGAGGGTCTGTACCTGGCTCTGAGAAAACTGGTGCAAAGTGAAGAGCCCTAACATTGAACATGATCTAGAAGCCCCACCAAAGGGCTGGTCAGAGTTTTACTCCTCATGGGCAGGTGAATATTCGGGTACTGGGGGATTTTATTTAATTAAAGAAAGGTTCAGCCAAGCCTTAAGGCCTTACAAAGCCATTTCAGCTAAAACCAAGGTCTGGATGCAGAAATTAAATGCGCCTTCCTTGTTACCTTGAAACACTTTGCAACAGTGATTAGAAAGTGTAAGAATGCTTTTAAAAGTTGGTGGTTTTGATGTGGGGAAGGAAGACGAGCTCAGTGCTGTGCCGAGCCTTCCCTTCCCAAGTGCCAGTTTTGGTGAAAGGAAATGTGCTGTGTTTCTTACAGAGGACAAGCCTGTCACAGAAGCCATGGAAACTTTCACAGGAAACAACCCAAAGTAGCACCATACTCCACAAGAGCATCCCAAAAGACATTAGGATACAACAGAAGAGCACTGACATGAACGCTGGACACCTGTCCCAAGTGTGAGTTCCAATGCCACTGAGCGGGGTGATTTTTTTTTCCCTTTAAGAAATTATGTTCCAGTTAGAATAAAGGCAACCCCTTTCTTTTAACTGTTCTTTTCAATGTGTTCTGTATATACAACCCTTAAAATACACTTAAAAATAGCTGCCCACGTGTTGTGTCATTACACTGGAGAAGGGCAGTTACACAGACCCTGCCTCTCAGTACATTAAAAATTGGGAACACCCCCAGCAGCCCCGCTCTGCTCCAGCCCCCATGCTGGCCTCGAGGAGGGAAGGAAGGAAGGAACAAGCAGTTTGGAAATGGGAGTCGCTCACAAAACACACCACTTACAAATCCCGAGGGAATTTCCTCAAGCAGTTCTGTCTCAAGTCCTTTCTGAAATGTTTGAGGTCACACTGCCATCTTAGCAATGAAATCTGTTGCAACATGCATGTGTCAGCTTCCCACTCAAACAACTGCAGCCCTGAGGATTTTTCTGGCCTGGTAGAAAGAGGAAATGTAACACAATTCCTGATGTATGGCTGGTCCTCTGTTTCCAAACCCAGTGTGGTTCCCTTGATGGTTCTTGGACACACACCCACGCATTTTTGTTGGGTTTTTTTTCCTCTAATACACGTTTCCCTCTAACCAACATGCAGATTTCTCCTCCCAGCATCTTGACGTCCCAACGAAACAATCCACATCATCCATCCAGAGGTTTTCCCAGGTAGACCAAAGTCACTTCTGTGTTACCATACACAGCAGACACTGCTGGATACAGGCAAACTTTTGGCAGTCCTCTGAAGGCAACTCCCAGGAACTCATAGCCCCTCTCAAACGCTAACGTTTTGTCTTCCATGTCCAGGATAACTCGGATCCTTTCGCCTATCTGGAAACAGGGACAAGAGAGGTGGAACGAAAATAACACACAGAAAGAGTCAGCATGTTCAGATGGAGACAAAAATAATGCAAAGTGCAACACAGCAGAGAATTTTAAAGCAATTTCCTGCTTCAATGATGGCATTTCCCAATTTCACTCAAATCCACCATGATCCCGAGTGCCTCTGAAGCAGGGCAGCCTGTACCCACTGCCTGTTTATGGTAATGAACGTGACCCTTCTCATACGAACCTGTGAGAGCACCGAGAGCGAGCACAGAGTGCCACGTGCTCTGGAAACCTTGTCACGGCCTCCAAGATCCCTGAACTCTTGTGTTCAGCTGCTGCTATTGCTGAGCAGGTTCTCCTTTGTGAGGAGCAATTTTAAAGACAATGAATTTTTTAAGAAAGGCAAGTGCCACCTACAAAAAATCCCAGAATAGACCGATATGCAGGTGCTGTGGCTGACAGAGGTGTTCCCTCACCAAGGCTGAGGGAAATTCCACTACAAAAGGTAAAATAACCAGGAAAAACCGAGAGTATATATATACACACACAAGTGAAACCAACACTGACCACAGCAGGAGACTCGGATCCAGGCAGGCACGGAGCTCCCTGATTTATTTCAGACATCAATACAAGTCCCAGAGGGCAGCCACAAGCACAGCAGGCGCCACACAAACTCCTGACTCTTCTCCAACCAGCCTCAGTGCTGGGGATTTCTTCCAGCTAACAGATTTTACTTCCAACCAACACTACCACACATGTGTCTTCCCTTCAAGTATATTTTCTATGAGCAGATCACTGCACATGTCTTAATAAACACAAAATATGCCAAACGATCGCTGATTTGAACTTTCATGTGAAATTTAGGAATATCAGATGCAAGCTGCTACACAGATCTTCACCCACAAGTGAAACATAAGCCACTGCAAAGCCACAGCACTGGGGGCTGGACTAGATGATTTTTAGAGTCCCAACCCAAACCATTGCAAGATTTTGTGATTATGAGATTGAAATGACAGTGCATCCAGTTTAAGCTGTAACACGAGCAAACCCAGCAGTCAAAATGCAGTCGGGTGAGCAGGCAGAAGGACAAACACCTCCCTAAGGACAAAAAGGTGGAATGGCATTTGCTCTCTAATACCCTATAGTTATCTGAACATCAGGTCCCAGCCAAGGGATGTCACCCACGGGAAGGCAGCCAGCCAGCAAACGCAGCACTCAGCACTGCTGCAGGAAGACTCTTACCTAAGCACTAACCTCAGCTCACCCTGCCAGACAACAACAAAGGGGGAAAACACCTCAGACACTCACCTTGCTGTGGGGTAAGTCGCTGCTTCACGAGGCTACAACAGTCTTTTCAGCTTTTACTCCAAAAAGCAACACGGTGTCTAAGCAGACACGCATGGCATGCACTTCACGCTCAGTGTTTGAGATTAAAGTGTGGAAACAACCCAGGGTCAGGTGCACTGAACACCAGACAGGTGTAGCATGCGGAAGCAGTAAACGAAGGGGAAAAGGGCTCAAAAGGCAGAATTATCTGCCCTCTGCAGGGAAGGCACAGACACCCTTTAAGTGTGCATTTAGGAGCAATTCAGCAGCCAGCCAGGACACCCGAGCAACAGCCAGGACAGGGGACGGACTGCCAGCACCCACCAGGCCCGCACCAAGCCCCCTCACCTGGTACTTGGGCGCGTTATTGCACTGGGGGAAGCTGCCGTTCACCTCCCCGTTATGCAGCAAGTTATTGTCCACCAGGTTCCAACCCCAGCTCTGGTCGTCGCTGCCCAGCAGGGCCACGTAGCCCTGGCACTGCATGGCCGCGCGCTTGGTGGCGATGCCGATGACGGCCACGGTGCCCAGCGGGCCCTCCCACCACACCTCCCAGGCGTGCCGGCCCTCGCTGAAGCCGATCTTGGTGCGCGCCCCGTCCGTGCTCTGCGCGATGGGGTTGCGGTGCAGCGTGAAGCCGTTTTTCTTGATGTAGACGTTCCTCGAGCAGTCGTTGGTGCTGAAGGCGTGGTGGAAGGCACGGACCTGGCGGAGAAGAAAAGGAGAGTGGTGGGAGACATGGACGGGGCTTGGAGAGCCTGGTCTAGTGGAAGGTGTCCCTGCCCGTGGCAGGGGCTGGGAACGAGATGAGCTTTCAACCCAAACGAGATGGGCTTTCAAGCCTTCCAAGCCAAACCCCTCTGTGGCTCCACGAGATAAAACCCTGCGGTGTTTTCCAGCCCCCCTTGGTCTCCAATGGCGGGTGGGCCGAGGGGCCGTGGGGGTGTCCCCAGGCGCCCGGGGGCTCGCTGGGCGGCTCCGGGGGGCCGTCCCCGCGGGTCGGGGGTCCCGGCCTCACCTTGCCCTTGTAGGTGGGCACGTTGCAGAGGATGTCGGTGCGCAGGGCCTCCTCGGCCAGGCAGCGGGCGGCCAGGCTGCGCCACACCTCGCTGTTCTCGTCGCCGTGCAGGACGCGGTGCCACAGCTTGCAGACCAGCGCGCAGCTCCGCAGCTCCCGCAGCTCCAGGTACGAGAACACGAGCTCCAGCACCCGCCCCGGCAGCCGCCAGCCCGGCCCTCCCCACGCCGCCGCCCCGGGGCCGGGGCCTGGCCCGGGCCCCGCCGCCATCGCCCCCCCCTCCCCGCGCTCCCTCGCCCGCCCGGTGTCGGCGGGGCCGGGGCCGCCGAGGCCTCACGGCGCCGCCATCTCGGCCGCGGGCACCGCCCCGCGCGTGCGCGGCGGGCGCGGGGCGGCCGCGAGGGGCGGGGGCGGCGCGGAGTGAGCGGAGCTGAGGGAGCCGAGCGGGGCTCAGGTGAGACCCGCACCCCACGGGACCGCGCCTGCCGGGGCGGGGGGCTCGGGGCGCTCGGGACCGCCTACCGCGGGCCCCGGGCGTTGAGAGGGAACGGCTCGCGGGCGGGAGGGCGGCCGCGGATCTGCCCCCCCACGCGGCCCGCGGCCGAGGAAGGTGTCGGCCCTCTCTGTAGGTGTTACTTAATCGCTGAGACTGAAGTTTCTCCCGGTGGATTGAATCGGTGCTGGCTGCTCTTTAGATCTGGCCCGGCAAAAATCACGTGGAAAACATAACATTGTAAAAAGAAACCCAAACGAAAATAAGCCGTTTATTGCCCAGTAATACGATAAACCCACGGCGGCAGCGAAGCGGCTTCTGGGCTGTCACACGAGCCCTACGTTGCCTGTGACCTGCCCTGCCATTAACTCTCCTTTCCTCACAGCGTCCTAGCCCCTCCAACGCTTATTATGCTTTTGTGCCACTCTTTTCTTTTTTTTTTTCCCACCTCACTTAGTTTTCTGCTGATGTCCCGTAAGCAGTGCTGTGGCACAGGCTGTGGGCAGTCACGTCAGGGAAGGGCGAGCTTGGCGAGTTCCACGGGCGTGCTCTGAGACCCAGTTAAACGTGTTGTAACTAACCTGCCTTAAACTGGTAATGCTGCTTTTAAAAGGATCGTGGAATCATTGTATCATTTTGATTGGAAAAGACCTGCCAGCAGCTGGTGTTGCTGCTTTTTGAGCCAAAGCTCCACGTGGGTACTGAACTGTGCCTGCTTTACCTGGACAAGTATTTTGAAGGATGATCCTGTTTCTTGACAAATTTCTGCTGTAATGTGACCAATAACCAGCTCAATTCAGGGCTTTTTTTGGTATGTTTCAGAGGTGTCCCCAAAGCATGGCGGTCAAATGGACTGGTGGGCATTCCTCCTCTGTCCTGTGCCTGACTGTGAGCGCGGAGGGGCTGGTGGTGTCCAGCGCGGAGCGTGGGGAGCTGGCGCTGTGGGATGGGGGAGGCTCTCTGGTGGGACAGCTCCGGCTCCCGGGGGACGACGATGTGACGTCCGTGGTGTTCTCTGCCCGCCGCCCCAGCACCCTGTACACCTCCCACGGAGAAACCATCAGTGTGCTGGATGTCCGGGCCCTCCAGGAGCCCCTGGAGCGCTTCCACGTGAATGAGGAGGAGATCAACTGCCTCTCCGTGAACGACACCGACAGCCTCCTGGCCGCGGCAGATGACTCGGGGGCCATAAAGGTTGTGGACTTGGAAAGCAAGAAAGTCACACGGTCCCTGAGACACTCCAACATCTGCTCCTCTGTTGCCTTCCGACCTCAGCGGCCTCAAAGCCTGGTTTCCTGTGGACTGGACATGCAGGTGATTTGCATACATGTAGATGGTTATTAGTGAAGTGAAACAGTAATCACCCACCTGTGTAGTGAGGTGCCCACAGACTTTCACCAAGAGTGAAGGTGTCCAGCCTGTGGTCACTGGGAAGTTCCATCACTATTCTAAAGTAGTTTTGGCTCAAAAATCAAGTGTCAGGGCTGTTTGTGCCATTTTCTACTCAGCAGTTCCTCTCCCTGTTTTTATCTTCCTCAATATTTACAATCCAAAAGTGAGCAGGGTGGGAGGAAATCAGAATACAGTGCAAAGCTCCTTTACTCCAATGTCTTTCCAAGTGGAACTGTAAGGAAAAGTCATTTTTACAACTCATCCTTTGTTCTAATTGACCTCTTGGAAGCATGAAATGTTCTTTGCCTTTTACACTTCTCTGTCCTCGTCAAGAGGAAACTTTGTCCTTTGCATTCTGAGAAGAACCACTCTAGGAGTTAAGTTCAGAGCCTGCCACCCAGAACAGATGTTTTTCAGTAATTTCTTTGCAGTGGTTGAGATCTGACCACATTCCTGGTTTAGCCCTAGATGGAAACTCTCACTTCTCAAAGGCTTCTGTGGTTCCAGCGGTGTCAGGGTGAAGTTTGTTTGACAGCGTTGAAGAGTTTCACTCTGTTCTTGAAACTGAAGCACATCTCACACCCTTTAGAGCCAACACATGCTGGTAGTTAGGATAAATGGTAATTTTCCATATTAAAGCCCTGATGATAGATCGAGCCTGAGAGGAGTAAATGCTCAGTACCTTAGCTGGCTTAACTCAGGACTCTAAAATGCAGATTCACAAGCCTGGAAGCTTTTTATCAGAATTGTAAGCAGTTGTATACCACCAGGTGCAAGTGAGCTGGTTTTTTTTTTTTTTTGGTGACTTTTTAGTCTTAGTTTCATTTATTGTAGTTCAGCAAGCTGGGTTTTAGGTGAAAGTCAATATCCCAAAAGAGTTGGAATTCATTAGTGTGTTTTTATATAGTGAAAAGAGCACTTTCCTGCATCAAGACCCCCTTTAGGATGCATCATTTCCCAAAGGGGAGCTGAGCTGCAGAGCCATGGAATGCTGTGCTGCAGCATGTCTTTGGACAAGTTACGAGCTCTACGAGCATCAAAACATGTTCTGGGCTCACGTGTCAAACCCTCGGGGAAGCCGTGGCTGGTGAGAACTGAAATTTAGGTTGCTGGAGTTCTTTCAGGAATTCCAAGGGAAGCAGGGAAAATGCCACAAGGACAGAAAATACTTAGTCTGTAGAAAACCTGTCAGCAGTTGATGGATTTATCAGGCTGCTGCAGTGCTGTCTGTGATGGAAACAGAATTTTCTGTAAGCATCACTCAGCCTCTCTGATTTACAAATCACAGTTGTTGTGGAAAGTTTTCCCTTTCATCCATAGCGAAGTAGTTTTAATGTAGCAGCAAGAGCAGTCACTGAAACAGGAAGGTGACAGGAAATGACGTATTTCAGATGTTTTAGCGTGACTTGGATTCCAGAAACGCAGACCCAGGGTGACAGCTCCTTTGTGCCCCAAATTTAAAGACTCCTGGTGATTACTCCTGGTGATTACTGCTGGTGATTGACTACCGAAGGAATATTTTTATCAACAACAGATTAAAGCTTAGCATTATGCAGCAAACAGCACACCAGTGCTGCATTAGGCTGACTTGTGCTTCTGGCTCTGTTGGCCTTGAAAATGCTTATTGTCAGTTCATATCCTATGAAAGTCTCGAGAGAATTATTTTTAATTGGCTCAGTATAAATCTGTAGTGCTTGAACTGCTGTATGAGAGACCCGAGATTCGTATGAAGGCACAGTTACCACTTCATGGGGGGCTTTGGGGTGGGGCGGCATTTGAAAAGCAAGACTGAAAGCACAACCTCCCCCCATCTCTTTAGGAAAAGCACACCCTACTCGATTGCACAAACCACATCTACTCACTGGATATAAAAAGAAATACAAATACGCCTGTTTAAAAATGAGAGCCTAAACTACTGTTTGCCTTTTGCTGTCCCATTTTTCAGGCACATTCATGGAGATGATTATTTTAGGGCAAGTGCATAGCAGAGACAGAAATCCAGAATGATAATGATCTCTATTCACTGCGAGCGTTTCTGTGTCCCTCCTTCTCAATAATTGATGTGCAGTATGTCAGGATTACTATTACTGAGATGAATGCAAAGGCTTTTAGAGCAGCGTTTGCATCCCCTTCGTGGTCTAAAGGTCTGAGTCATTGACTGCGGAGTACGGCTGTGGGGGTTTGGAAACCTGGCTGGAAAGATGTGCCATATTTATCAGGGCAACTTCAACCACTCCTCACCACACACACCCCACACCTCTTGCACTCATGCACAGCCTTTGCTCTGCTGGAAGAAGAAGTGTGGTTGTTTATTTTTACTGTTAAAGATCTGATTTTATGTAAAATGGACAAGTCATTGATTCATCCTGGTTTTTTCCAGGTCATGCTGTGGAACCTGCAGAAAGCTCGCCCCTTGTGGACCACAAACCTGCAGGAGTGTGGCACGGAGGAGGACAGCCCACAGTCAGCCGGGCAGTTCTTCAACCCGCCGCTTGCACATTCCCTGTCCGTCGCCTCCTGCGGAAACGTCTTTGGCTGTGGAGCTCAGGACGGTAAAGTCAGAATATTCCGAGTCACTGGTGTCAAGTTTGAACGTGAGCTGGAGTTCCAGGGTCACAGCTTGGGAGTCTCCCAGGTCCTCTTTATGCCACAGGCATACTGGTTGTTGTCTGGAGGTAACGATGGGAAAGTCCTGCTCTGGGATATTGGCAGCGAGCTTGGGAAGCAGCAGAAAAGTCCAGCAAAATCTCTGCAGAGGAGGAAGGCCCAAGCACCTGCTTCCAGCAAGAAAAATGGGAAGCTCAACAAAGTGTCCTCAAGTGAACAGGCTGGAGTTGTGCCAAAGCTCACCATCGAGCATGGAGAGAAGGTGAACTGGCTCTCGTGTGCAGAGATCAAAGGCTGCAGGAGGGTGTTGGTCGCTGACCAGAGCAGCTCTGTGTCGGTGTATCCCTTGCCAGAACTGTAAACACCCAGATGTTTACAGAAAACTGGGGGGCAGAACCACTTCTCAGAGCCAGTTGCACCCACTGACAGTGACCTGGCCAGTGAACCCCCGTGTTCCTTGGGAGGGATTTGCTGTGCCCTGGTGGTGTCCCTGGTGTCGAGCTGGTTCTCAGTGGCTCTTGTGTTCACAGCTGCCATCTCCTGCAGGGTTGGCTGTTTGCTGCTTGAATTAAGTGAAACGGGTCTCTACATTTAGGGGTAACATTGGTTCATGACTAAGCTGATGTAATTAAGGCTGGAGGAGGAAATCAGCACTGAGGGGACACCCCAGTGCTGAGTGAGGGTGCTGAGCAGGGACAGGGCTGTCACTGGCTGCACTCTGTGGGCTTTGCACTGTTGCAGTGCTCTGTGTGACTCTCCCCGTGAAGCTGTGGCCCAGTTGGCTTAAACCAGCTGTAGTGGAATCTATTTTCCATCACTCTGTCAGCAGCTGCATGTAAGACTAGAGAAGCATCAATTAACGATTAATCAAATGAGTTTCCCTGTCGTTGACGATTGGTTTTGCTCACACTGCAGTACAGGAGGGAGCAGGGGAACTGTTAACACCTGTTTGATGGCTCAGCTGTCAGCTGTTTATCCCAGGGAAAAAGAACTATAACACTTAAATAAATGCTTTCTCTCTCACTGCTCCCTTGTGCTTAGACTCACTCTAATATTGCCAAACTCACATAAAATTGTGTCAAAAAGTGTACTGTACCCCTGTCACAGGGGGACTATGAAGGGCCAAAGGCATGGCTTCTCCTCACCTAAATACTTACTATCTTCCCAAAGCTTTGGAAACACAATGAGCAGAACTTGGGCTTGCTAGAAGCATCTCTTCATTTGCAAATTGGAGATAGGAAGAACTAAGTGGGAATGCTGCAGCTCTTGACACATCCAGTTCATGCTGGATTTCCCATGGAATGGGCAAATAATTTAAAAAAGGGGGTTTTTTTTCCCCAAGCTGTCCTTTACCTGTCACAGAACTGAATTCTTGGTGCTGGCTGAGGACCTGCTGCATTGATGGGGGGTTTGTGCTGCCTTTTTCACCAACTGGGCTGTTACCAGACCCATATTATTATTAAGGAAAAATTTCCATGTCTTTTTCTTGCATACCCAGCTCTTGATAATCATTAGCTGGCAGTGCTAGCTCTCCGTCCCTTATGGAAGAGATTCCAACTGTCTTGGTTTAGCTCAAAGCAGCTCCCTGCAACCAAACACAACTCATTCTCATCCAAATCTGATTTTACCATTGGATCTTTTTTAATTAAAGAAAGCAAAGGCAATCTGCTTGTGCAGCCTTCCACAGCAGGAGAGTTTGGCCCAGGACATGAGCTGGTGGGCGCCACAGCAAAACGAAGCCAAAACACAGCACAAATTAAAAAGCAGAACAGTGTAGTTTCACCCTTGTGTGTCACCTCTGAATTAGTTTATGTGTGCAGACATGGGGTCAGTGGGGCAGAGGAAGGGGTCCAGGTGCATGGTTCGATGTTGTGATATGTCCATAAGCGTGTGCTGGTGCATCCATGACCTATATTTGGATACACAGGCTATAAAAAGCCTTGGAACAAACAACCTCCTGCAGGACCCGGATCCCCTGTCCCTGCTGTTGCTGCCGGCTTCAGGAGAGAGGAGCAAGCCCGCTCCAGCTTTTATTTCTCCTCTTGGTGTTCTCCAGGAAGATGGCTAAAGGCAGCATCTCCCTGCGCTCCCTGAACGAGACGCTGAACAGGTCTGAGCAGCACTGGAAGGGACCGGGAGGGCTGGGGCAGGAGACCAGGCAACCTGTGAGCATGGCAAACCTGTGCTTCCCTGGAAACATCCGTGGGGAACGGGGTGTACGTACACATCGTGTGTATACGGGGAGGGAGTGGTTCACGAGCAGTCTGACTTCTTCACTCACTGGGGAGGGAAGAGGGACAGAGCCACCAGCTCCATGGTGGTGGTCAGTTCCGTGCCCGCTGTCCTGGCTCTTTGCTGCAGGATTTGGGCAGTGGCTCCACCAGACAAGGCCTGCAGCTGGGTGAGGTGTTGGCAGGTGATTTATAACCCACTGGAAGTTCAGGTTTGCTGTTGTTAATGGGAGATTTGGGATGAATGACCGAATTTTGGAAAATGCCTCAGAGTCTGGAGGGTTCAAAGATCGGGAGTAAATGGTTTTGGTTAGCAAAAAAACCCCTCAAGAATGGACCTTTCTTTTAAGTTTAAAGAGAGCAAATGACTGTTGCTGGGGGAGCAGGACATAGGTGACGCTGATTCACCCTCCATTTCCAAAGCCTGCACTCGGGAGAGGAACGTGACCAACAGGTTCACTGGCTTCCTGTAAAACAATCCGGCCCCAGCTGCCCCTGCTGGCACTGCTCCGTGTGCTCGGCTCAGCCTCCGGGGGATGGTGCCTCAGATCAGAGACAGACCATGAGCACAGATCTTCAGGAGAATAGAGTCAAAAAGGGGTCTGGAATTCTCAGCAATTAGAGACAGGCAGGATACTGTTCCCTCCCAGTGGCTTTTCACCTCTGGGTTTTCATATTACTGTGAGGGTGGTGAGGCCCTGGCACAGGTTGCCCAGAGAAGCTGTGGCTGCCCCATCCCTGGAAATGTCCAAGGCCAGGTTCGATGGGGCTTGGAACAACGTGGGATAGAGGAAGGTGTCTCTGCCCATGGCAGGGAGTGGGACTGGATGGGCTTTAAGGTTCCTTCCAACCCAAACCATTTTGAGATTCTATGATGTGTTGCCTTTACAGTATCAAGACATTTTTAAGCCAACTCAGGTGTCACACATACAACTGTGGTTTACCTGCAGTAAAAATGATCACTATCAAGAGTATCACAGCCAATGGGATGCAGTACTTCTGCTTAGGAAATGAACGGTTAGGTGTTGACAGACTGACAGCTGACAGTCTTGGAAAGAAAGTGCTCCTCTCCTCGAGATACTAACAGGGTTCCCCCCTCAGCTTTATGACTCCAATTCAATCAATGGTGACTACAAAAATAGATACCAGAGACCTGACCCGAGGGAGAAATGCTGGAACTACTCCTGCAGGAAAAAAGTGAAAATTAGATCTGTGGTAAACTTCTTGAAGAAGCATCTAGGAGTGAGTGAACAGGGAGAGCTTGGAGGCTGCACTGGCCTGGAAAATAAAACCCACGTGACAGCTCTAAAATGTCATTTTCTGTAAATGCCTGAATAGCAGAAATAAGGTTACCCATACAACCGCACTTTCAGAGAAGTGGGAATGATGGTGCTTTTACTGCACAGCTTCCAAGTATGTTCTGTGTGCTAACGAGAGAGAGGGGAATTTTAAAAAGCTTTCTGGTAAAGAATGGGGATGTGGTTTGTGTGTACACTAACCAGAGTTAGAGGTCACTGACTCAGTGGTAACTTCACTTACACTAAGGGAAAAAGTGTGCAGAGGTCAGGATTGAAATGAAAGCAGGAGGTTTAATCCTTCCTTGTTTCGCTCTAAACTTGGATCAAGAGGCAGCAGCACTGAGTGTATCAGAATTTACTAAAAGCTGTAGGAGATTGGTTATGGAGATGGGCCCTACCATGGTATAACTGAACTGATGTTTTTAGATCCCAAATTAGCAAATGCTGAAATGTTTGTTACAGGTGCTTAAAAATACATAAGGTTAATTTACAGACAGGTAATATACCCACCAAAAAAGTGCTGGAGAGACAAAAATGGTCAACTACTAAACCATTGGACTAAAAGGCTGCTGAGAAACAAACTACCACACTGACAGTAGCACGAGTGATGAGTTTGTACACCACACAAACTCAGTTTTTCCAATTAAAGTTCTGATTTAAGTCCCCAGATTCTTGCTGAGGCAAGAGGAGTCCTACCGCAGGAAGATGAGCTTTCTCCAGGCTGCAGAGGAAGTCTTGTAGCCTCAGGAAACAACAGAAAATTGTTACATGAGGATCTGCTCAAGTGGCCAGACAATGAATTAAGGTCAGGGGTACTTAGTAAAATGTGCCACCCTTGATGTATTTTTATTTTTTAACTCATTAAGGTCAACTGCAGACAGACTCCAAAGCAGGGTTTGGAGGAGGAGGTGGCAGAAGAAGAGGCAGGCAGGGAGAGGGGGGAGCTACTGTTAGGGAAAAAATGGCATTCTTGGTCCTTCTCTTATAACAACAGGCTTTAAAATACCTTGGAGTCCTTGTGAAAGAATGAAAAACTATGGGTAAATTATCTAATCTGCTGTTCACACAGTATAAAATTAATTTCTGTTTGCTTGGAGGCTTTTGTTTTGCTTGGTTTTTTTATTTTTTAACATCACCACCTGAAAGCTGCTGTGTTTGTACAAAAGCGCCAAAGATACGCATAATAGGGCCACAACAACCAAGGCAGAAGACCTGAATACGGTGTTTAACACAAGTAGGTCACAATTCAGAACCCCATTCCCTGAACATGAGAACAATACAATAATAGTAACTGAAGGGCAAACTGGGGGTGGAGAAAAGAGAAGCTAAAGGCAAAAACAGAGTCTTCTCTGTAATAAAATTTAGTGATGGTGCAGTTTCTGTTTAGCTGATACAGCCTGAAGTTCTGCCACTAATACAGAAAGAAAAATCACAAAAAATTCTGTAAGGACTCGCTGATGCTCTACTAATAAACCACATATTGAGTACACAGTAGTGAGACAGTTGTTCAGAATTTAGGAAAGAACTTGGAAGGATTTATATTTTGATAGCTTTGAGATCCTCAGGACTCTCGAGAACATGCCTTGTGCCAATCAAGTAACAGAGGAAAACGTGAAGAAAACTATCTTTCCAAAAACCACCTGGAGGGACAGAAGCCCAGCACCAGCCTGTGTCTCCAGCAAAGAAATGGGCACAAAGCATAAATACTTGCATTGCCTTGTAGTTTGTCCCTAAACACAGCAAATCCTCTTAAACTGGGCAGTTTTCTTCAGCAAAAGTGGAGTACAATAGCTCAAAACTCAAACCCTCTTCTTTGGTCTTGTAATTTACGATTTTAAATAAGGAAAAACACAGCAGATACCAAGTAATGAAAAACAATTAATAAATAAAAGCTAATGAAGAAGTTTTTAATCACAGAGCTGTAGAAGAACAGCCCTATAAAAGGGAGAACCAGCTGATGGGAGAAGAGAAACACTGCGAGTGGGATTTGTATTATTTGTATCATTCTTACTCCGAGGAGAAATGAGAAAGCATCAAACGAAAATGATTCAGAACATCATGATACTACGAATAAAAGCATTAATCACATCAAAAGGTATTAGAGAAAAAAAAAACACCTGGTGTCTCTAATAATGCAGATGGTTGAGACCTCCAAACCCATGTCCATACTGATTTTGCAGCTGAGTTTAGAGGTTATAAGACCTCTGCACCAGCAGAGGTCCAAAAAGACATGGGGTGCAAAGAAAAAGAAAAAAATCTTCATTTTTAGTGGCGTATATTCTCACAGCTTGGGATCTGGAGCCGTTCACGGCGCAACGCGGCGGCGGAAAGCCCCAGATCCTTCTGAAATTCCCTTACCCCTTGTCCTTCCCCCCCCTCAGGGTGGAAAGCAGGCTGCTTTCCCTGGAGGCTCGGTTCGCAGCCCTGGACCGCAGCCTGCAGGGCCTGGAGCTGCGCTTCGACCTGCAGGCGGAGGTGCTGGAGCGGGACCTGCGCCGGGATGTGCCCTGGGCCCCCGAGGGCAGGTGAGCGCGGCCAGGGACGGCCCCAACCCCTGGGGCAGCCACAGCCTCTCCGGGCAGCAGGGAAGGGTCGCTTCCCAGTGTCCCCTCTCACCCCTCCCTCTGGCAGCGCGGAGCTGTTAACCCTTGTCATATCGCGACAGGCAGTCACAGCCCTCCACACTGAGCCCGCAAACTCTGCTTCCCAGCAGGCTCAGCGGCGGAGGAGGGGAAGAAGAAGGAGGAGGAGGAGGGCGAGCAGGAGGAGGAGGAGGAGGAGGAGGAGCCGGAGCCGGCGCCGGCTCCCTCAGCAGGAGGGCGGGAAGGGCTCCGTGAGGGCGGAGCGCGGTCGCCATTGCGGGGCCTGTCCCGGAGCCGCAGCGGTGGGTGGCGAGTGCTCGCTGGGACCCCTGAGGGGCCGGGGCTGAGGGGGGCCGGGGCGCGGCGGGGAGGGCCCTTACCTCTGGGCACTCGAGTCCCCGGCGGTTATTTTTTAAATCAATAAAGACAACGGAAGTAGTAAATCCCGCCTTAAAGCGTGTTTGTCTCCATGGCGAGTTCTGTGTGGGGAATCGCAGCCTTTCTCTCGAGGACCTGATGTGGTTGCCTGTTTAACAAGCTTGTAACTTATAAATCGGTGTTTTTATTCTTTCTGCTGCATGTTTCTTTGTTTTCTCTCCCACAGAGGCCAAGTGGAAAAATCCTGTGAGGAGCCAGATGATCCCCACCGTTTCAAGTCATACAAGAAGGTGCTGAAGTCTTAATTCTTCATTTATCATAGGAAAAGAGTATCTTTGCTTTTTGGTATCAGCTTAAGCAAGCAAGTGAATGAGAAAGAAGCTGCTCTGCCCTGATGATGTATTTCACCTTCAGAATGTGCTGGAAGCAAGTCTGTGCCAAAAGCAGCTTTTGAAGGACATGGAGGTACTGAAAAATTGAGCATATGGAAGGTTAAGGTAACTGGGATGACATATCCAGCATAGCTTGTCACAGATAGAGAGTGCTGGGAGAGGAGTGGAGTAATAGAAGTGGCAGGAAGAACTCTCACCTTTCCCCCTCTCACCACCTACTTGCTATCCCCAAAGCACCTGTTGCAGCTCACAGGAAAGTGCAGTAGGAAAACCTGGTACAATTTTTGTGTGAGTTTTGGAAAGATTTGCATCTTCCTCTAGAATCTGTCAGGTCCTGAGCAAAAGCAACCGCTTAGACAGGCTTCAAAATACACTAATGCCTTCTTAAAGTTGTTGTAAAACATTTTCTGTTTTCCTTTCTTTTACCTCCCGTAAAGAACATAAATGTTTGACTTTGCTTTCAGGTTCTGATGTTGTCCTAGTCTTGTTCCTCTAACTCGAGTCAGTATGTCAAAGAAATCCAAGGCCCCGCTTTCCTTGTCCGACTGCCTCTGCCAAATTTGCATGGAGATCTTCGTGGAGCCCGTCACGCTGCCATGCAGCCATACCCTCTGTAATTCCTGCTTCCAGCTGACAGTGGAAAAGGCCAGTCTTTCTTGCCCATTTTGTCGGCGTCGAGTCTCTTCTTGGGCACGGTACAATGCCCGCAGAAATACTCTTGTCAACTGGGAGCTCTGGGAGAAGATTCAGAAGAATTACCCGGAGGAGTGCGAGAGGAGGATTAATGGACAGGATTTGGACGAGGAAAGTAAGTGGCATGTCACTTGTCCTGGCATGTCTCTGCTTTGCCACAGTAATCACTGCAGGTGGACTCTGGATGTTGGGAGATAAAGAGCTGTGTGTTACTGCTGGGCAAGGCAGGGGCAGCGCCTCTTTCATTTATTGTAAGAGGGTAAAAAGGCCCCAGTTTTTATTGCTCATTTTCAGCTGTAGCATCTGCAAGCAGCGTTTGGGTGCGTGGGTGTGTTTCTTTATTACTGTCAAGTAACTGAAGTGGTTAAAAGTTTTTTAACTCTGTTAATTAGTTTGGTTAGAGATTCCAGGGGTTCCATCAACGCAAGAGTCTCAGAGCCTTAAATTGTGGTGTCAGACAGAAGGAAGTGAAATCTGATTGACTTTTTAAAGAAGCATTTTGGGGTTTATTGTGTTTCAAGCTCCCTTCGGGGAGGCTTGTTGGTAGGTTGGCTGTATGGCACCTTGTTCAATGTGCAGTGTTATGAGGTCTTTTTAATCACCACGAGTGAAAAACGTGTTATGGTCAGTGTAGCAACATGGAATGGTTTGGGTTGGAAGGGACCTCAAAGACCATCTCGTTCCACCCCCTGCCACAGGCAGGGACACCTTCCACTATCCCAGGTTGCTCCAAGTTCCGTCCAACGTGGCCTTGAACACTTCCAGCGATGGGGCAGCCACAGCTCCCCTGGGCAACCTATTCCATCATATTTACTTCATATACAGTGATTGGGAATCACAGCCTGTTCCTGCCACGCTGTGACACGGCACTTTTCTACTGTGTGAATTTTATTCCTTTGTAACACAAAGTGCTTTTATTTTTTTTTTAATCACAGCACTTGATTTCAGTCTAATCATTCCCGTGACAGGGTGTGGAAGTCATCTGTTGTTGAAATCATTGTTGACTGTCATGATATTGCTTTGTTCCTTACTTTGTTTTTTCCCTATCCATTAGTCTGTGTCCCCAAGCCACAGCACCAGCTGAGCAAGCCTGGAGAGCTGAGGCAGGAATATGAAGCAGAGATTAGCAAGGTAAGTCTAAAAATACATTTAAAAGCATAAATACTTTGTATCCAGTTACTTGAATTGTTCCCAGTTATATAAATTGTTCCCACAAACAACTGTTATGGTATTTTGTGATAAAGATACTTAAAAGGACATTGCAACTGCAAGAACATACTGGTCACTCCTGAAGGATGGATTAAATTTATGGAAGAGGGGAGATTTCCTTGTGTTTGACACAAGGTGACATTTCTCAGGTTTTCTTGATCTGTACCTCATACTTCACCTCTCAGTCAATGCACATAAAAGTAGCAAATGTAAAAACTTGGAAGTGTTTGGGATTTAGTTTTATGCTTGCCTTACAGACCACAACTGAATGAATACAGCATTTTCTTATTCGGTTACCTCCAGTCATTTGAAAATCAGAAGAAAATATTTTTAAGAAGTCTCAGTTTTGCCTATTTAAGGATCTTTCTTCCAATTCAGACACACTAGTACTAAGATTTATAGTTGCAAAATATGTGAGAATGCTCCTTTCCCTGACAGCCCCTTGCTGCTGGTTACAGGAGCAGGAGGAGTGCGTGAAGCAGAGGACTGGGAGTAATTTCCAAATTCCCTCACCCAGCAAAGAAAGATTAATTCAGTCTTGAAGCACTTTGCTGTCCTCGTGGAGTTGCTGGTAACTGATCTCTCTGTGGGTATCTGCTGTAAGGAAGGCAGATGTAAAATTCTTGGCCTGCTGCTTTGGGTTTCGTGTGTTTCAGGAGAGCAGGACTCTTCTAGAAGAGAGAGATGTGCTGTCATTGGGGTATGTGATGATATAATGACACAGGCAAGTTGAGCAAACGCTGTGGAATAGCTGCCATCCAGTCTTAGAAAGAATCCTAATCCCAATTTCTCTGTAGATCTGTGTATTTGAGATCTTAGTTTTTGTTTGAAAAGGTGAGGAATGGAGTTTAACCTTGCAGGTGAGCAAGTCTGATGGTGTAATCTGGTGGAAACCAAAAGGTTGTGGTCAAACCCAAGGCTCTGCACGTGGTATCAGAGTGATTTACACCTTTGGAGACTCGTGCAGTTAAATTCTGGCTCTAGTTTTTGTGAACAGTGGGTGGTTCACAATTAAGGAGCATCAGCTCAGAGGTTCTGGTGCAAGATGTGGTCCTGCAGCTGTAACCAGGCGGGTTTTTAAACACATCTCTTGCAGGTGGAGGCAGAAAGGCGAGCGCACGAACAGGAGGAGAACAAGGCGAGCGAGGAATTCATCCAGCGGCTGCTGGCAGAGGAGGAGGAGGAGCACAGGTTGGCAGAACAGAGGCGGAGGGAGATGGAGGAACAGCTGAAGCAAGATGAAGAGCTGGCCTGGCAGCTCAGTAACAGTTTGGTGAGTTAGGGTAGAGGGGGGACAGCAGAAAACATTGATACAGTGCCAGCAACTTCTCAGAGATCAAGCTAAAGTTTGGAATAATTTGCATTTATTTTAGCTGTAGTTGGAAGCTGTTGTCAGCCCCCAGTACTTTAGAGCCTTGGTTGACGATTAATTTTTGAAAAACCAGTGGGAGGGTCAAATATTTCAAACATTTCTACCTGTGTAATACACACTTGAAATCCAGCACCCAGCACATGTGCTGCGTGTTTTCATTGTGAAATGTTTTCAAACACTGGTTTTCTCCTGAAAACTTCCTTTTCCCCATGATTTTAAAAATCCTTCTTTGGAAGAAAATAACATCTCTAACCTGTACTGGAAAAAAGGAACATACAGCGAAAATTTACCTTATCTTTTGGGGGATTTTTTCATTTTATTAATTTGTTTGGGTCAGTGGGAGTCTTTTCCCAGTGAGGAAGGCTGTGTACTTATTTGAGCAAATCCTCCTGTACTTATTTGAGCAAATCCAGGAAAGTGTATGGAATGTGTAGCATTTCTTATTCCATAAGTATCTGTTACTTGCAGTTCTAGAATCCTTTGGGTAAAAGTAACTAATTATGCAGCAAAACCAAAGTAGTTCTCTGGGGGTTTCTCTAGTCTGTGTTGTGTTTTGTTTTATGTAACACTGTATTTACTTGTCATGGAAGAACGAGGATGCCGAGGGACATGTGCTCAGCAGCCCGTCACCGGCACACAGCCTCTCGCCTCAGACGTCCCCAGCACAGTTGTGCAAGGCAAAGAACAGACCAAGCAACACTGGAGACATTCAGAAGTAAGGGGTTCAAGTGATTCTTCCTTAATTATTGATCTCCGTTTCTTCAGATAGTGTCCCTCTGCTCCATTTGCTTCCTTGGAATCCTGCAGGGCAACTTCCCTTGATAATCGGGGACAAATGTGTGAAGTGTTGAAGGTTAAAACATCTCCTCATATGAGGAGAAGGGAAACACTTGCCCTTCTTGTTGTTTTGGTTTGTCAGAATGAACCTGGAGATCTTGGTTAATGCAAAGGGCTGACAATCCAAGGAAAAATTGTTTAAAAGGGTGTACTTTTTTTTTTTTCCTTTCAGGTACCTGTCTCCGAAGAATCATGGTATGTTGGGATCAGCATCATTCTCTAGTACCCCAGGAAGAGGCAGGAGCAGCTCTGGCTCAGTGGTAACTGGAATCATTTTGTTATGAATCTCAGTGTTGGTAATTATGGGATATTTTCCTTTTTCCTGTAGCATTCCATCCTCTATTCCCCTTGCCCATCAGCGCTGGGCAGGTTATCTCGCCCTTTTTAAGCTCCCCTCAATATTCATAATTCCAAGTTCTGGAGATTACTGGAGGGGGGTGCACCCTGATTTACATCATTCCATGTCTGTCTGTCTGTCTGTCTGTCTGATCATTCCTAGTAGGCCTCAAAAGAACATGAACAGGCTTGAACAGTTGGTTTGAGTCACTAATAAAAGAAAAACACTGCAGTTTTGGTTTTGGTGCTTTTAGGTGGTTTTCTGAAGTTGTTTTAAATATTTTCATAATTATTAAACAATTAGGTATTTTTAAAAAGAGAAGTATCCCAGTTGCTCTCTCAGAGCAGTTCGGGGCAGTGCAGCTATGAGAAGTGAGATTGGCATTTATTCACACCCATGGGCTTTTAATAAATTTACTTTCTTGGTGGTTTCTCCCTGTTCTTCAGGAGACCAAGAGCAGTGAAGGCAGCTGTTCTGGACTGCACGATGAGCAAGAGGAAATGCCAACCCTGTCTCCACAGCTGACCAGTGTAAATAAAGATTCTAGTGCTAAGGATTTGTTTTTGGAATCATGCATGAACTATTTTAGTGCCTCAGCTTCAGGTGAAACCACTACTGTGAAGCAGGAAAAATCACCAGGACCAAATTGTTTAGGAGGTGGAGTTCCAGGTGCACTTCATGGAGCCACAGAAGGGGAAGGGTCTAGAACAGCTCTTTGTAGATCCAAAGGAGAAGATGATGAAATGGAGACAAACAATGGCAGTTTAACACGTGTAGAAAGCATAAACCTTGAAAACTCTCCTCAAACTTGTACCTCTGTTCAGACAGGGACAAATTCCATTATATCTGACAGCCAGAGTGCAGGATGTGATCTGGGGAAGGTGGCTGCGCACTCGGATGAAAAGGAACAAGAGGGGCTGCAGAACATTAAGGAGACTCCCAAAAGGAAGCTCCTGGAGGCCCCAGCTGATGCTGTGACTGACTCAGAGGCGCTTGACAAGAGGAGAAGAACCTGTTCAGAAAGTTTGGAAGACCAAGGGGTGCAGATTAATGATTTCAACTTGCAAACACAAAGAGCCTTTGAGCAGGAGTTCTATGAAAGGCGTAGGCAGGAGGAACAGGACAGGCTTCTGGCTCTGCAGCTGCAAAAGGAGCTGGACAAGGAGGAAAGGACACTCAACCGGCAGAAGGGCTCTCCAGACGAGTATCTGCTTCGCACCAAACCAGCTCAGTCTCTGAGAGACTCTGCTACCAAAAAGGGAAGTCCCAAGGTGGCCAAAGACTCAAAGGGATCAAAAAAACAGGCTGAAACCAATCACTACAAGGCTCGGAAAGGTTCCTGCAACGAAAACTGGCAATCCCCTGCCAAAGTCCGGGTGAAATCCCCCAGCATCAAGGAGGGAAAGGTTTTGAATTGCGTGGTCAATACCAGTGACAAGAATGATATTTGCTCACTGCCTAAGAACAAGCAGAAGACGATCCTGCAGATGTTTAAAAGCCCTGTTGCAGAGTAGATCAGCAGGACACGTGGTGAACTGAGAATGGGAACTGTGGGGATGTTCTCCCGTGTTAGGCAAAGCTTCCTCAAACAGTTCCGAGTTGTTGGTTTGGAGGAGGACCGCTTTGGGCAGTGGTGGTGTGAGTTCTGAGTTAGCAGTGTACGCCCCCAGACTTGAACATTTCTTAATAGTTCTTTTCCTGAATGTTATTTTCTAGTGCTTGCAGCACTTCTTGCAGGACTCAGTGTTTCTTGCTTTCTAGTGCTTGGTTTTACATGGTTTGGAAGGTGAATACCAGTTCAGGTATACAAGGATGACTTAAAATGAGAATCTGGAGCCTTTTACGGAAAGAATGCATGTTCTGTGGAGGAAGCAAGCAGAGAACCAGGCTGTATTCCCAGCTGGCTGCCAGGTGCAAGGTTCAACCCTCAGCACAACCACTGCTCTGTCACTTGAAGCGTGTCACTGAAATTTTGGCTGTTTCTGGAATTGCAGCCCAGAATTATTCTGGAATTAACACAAGTGTAACCGGACAGCCACTCTTTCCCTCTCATGTGCTAACCCCTCCCTTGGACAAAGGAGGGAAGAAACAGGTCATTCTTCCACTGCCAAAGCCAAGGATCTTTCACGGATGCCAAGGCTATGGGCTCGTATTCACCTCTGTTCAGAGAGGTCCCTCCTGCAGATCCCGTTTTCCTTGTTAAGAACAACATACTTTTGTTTTCTTATTGCTAATGTTCTGCAACTTTATTCTTCTATAATACTGTTACCTGTATTTGGTGCTGTTTAATTTTCATACTCAAACTGGTTTGAGTCTGATTAAAACCACGTAATATTAAAAAAGTACCCCAGTCCAGAAGCCAGTTATCATGAAAACTGGAGTTGTCAGTAATGATGTAACTGTAATTAAAAGATTCACATAACTGCCCTGCCTGGCTGTAACTGTTCCCCTCCATTATTTGAGGCACTACCAATACTGTTCTAGTTGGGTTTAAAACTAAAATAACTTAAAATAAATTGTAATTTAGACCGGGGGTGCTGAGGCCTGTAGGAGGTTGAGGCTGGTGAAGAGTTGACGAGGTCCTACTCCATAGAGGAAGTTTTCTTTCCAATTGTTTTATCTGTTGTTTTATGAAGCCATATTTTGGCTTTGCTTTGCTTCTTTGGAGGTACTTTTGCACTGTTCATGTTTGAAGTGGAGCCAAGCACCATCTGTAAGTGCTGAAGGGTGTTAGTCACCAAAGTCAGCAATTGTTTGAGATTTGTCTGTTTTTTTTGAACCCCAGTGATGACTTTAATTCTGTTTTGGGAAATTTGTAACAAAAACCTTCAAATTAGTATCTTCTGATGGTTTAGTTTTCAAAAAACCCCCAAATTTTATGGAAAGCATGACCGGCACACTGAGCCAAAAATCTGATTTGTTGTGTTTTTTGTTTTCCTCTGCCTGTATGTCTCTATCAATGGTGGGCTTCTCATAAATAAATGATCTGTTCTGAGATGTTTTTGGGGAAAGTTACAACAGGTGACCCGCTGCAAATCCTTCACTTTTCCTCCTGCTGCCTCAGCCATTGTGTTGGAAGCCTTCCTTCAATATGGATCTGTTTCTGATTAATCCTTACCTGAGTTGAGGTTGTTTTCTGTCAACAGAAACAAATATATCCCTTCATTAATTCAAGTGTTCTTTAAGGCAGAGCTGCTGGCTGTTTCCATGCTGGTGACCCTCAGCCTTTCCAGTCTGGATAAGCCTGTGAAAAATAAACTCCATTTTCAAAGCAGATGAGGAGAAAGAGTTTATTTGCTGCCCAAACCCTAAGTTTATGCCCAAGTACCAGCTTTGGCAACTTGGGACTCCCCACAATTAAATTCCAGATGTTAAAGGGGTAGAGGAAGCATTAGGGGTGCAGAGGGTGAGGGAGAAGGGAGAATTTCCCTTTCTGGCAGCACTGTGCTTTGTGCAAGTGGCTTGAAGCCACATCCTGGTATGTGGATTGCTGCATTTCACACCAGCCTCATTCCCTTTTCCTCCACAAGCTGTTCCATGGATTCTTTCTTTTCCCTTTTAATGTGTGGTTATGCCTCTTTTCCATGAAAGACTTGTGACGTGCACATAATCCCAGTAAGAAGTTCAGTAAGGGTGGTGCTCCAAAGACTTCCTCATCAGCAACAGCAAATCCTGCTGCTCTGACTCCTTTGAAAATCACTACAAAAATTACAAAATTTGCCATTTCAAAGGTCAAAATAGCTCACAAGTGGGTTTTGGTACATGTGTGTGTATGCTGGAGGGTGTGTTAAAGGATTTGGGGGATATTTGTGTTTTTCCAGCTCGCTGAATTTTGTCCTCAGTGTCAGAACCGGCTCTTACATAAGAATTGTTATTTTTGCAAGCAGAATGGAAAAAAAACAAGGGGCTACACATTGATTGTTAGATAAACCCCATCCTTGAGCGCAAAATGTCCCAAACCTGTCACCTACAGCAGCAGCCCCATCCGAGGTTGGGGGGCTGCCAGCTCTCGGGTCCCCCAAACGATCCCATTCCTGACCACACACATGGCACAGTAATCTTCACTGGGCACAACTCGGCCTGTCCTTTTAGGTCTTTATTGTGAGAGAGTGGATTTTGGTTGTACCAACAGCTGTGATCCGGGAGCTCTGAAGCAGGTGAAATGAGCTTTGTTTTCCTGGTGTTTGTGAAGCAGGACTGTGTGTTTGGGATGTTTGGGCTGTTTTAACGGTTCACTGCTGCTCAGAAGGGTGAGTTCACCTGCCTTCAGCTCTGGTGAGTCATCTCTCCTGTTTGTGAACCAAGTTCAGCTCATCCAACTGCCAGGAAAAACAAAACAAGCGCCAAAAAAACGGATACGTTACAGACTTGGTCGCTTTCCCGAGCGGATGGGAGGCAGGGAGGGCATAAGAGAGAGAGCAGATGTACCTCTTTTCATGGCAGTGAGGTATTAAATTACTCAAATTCTGAGGAAACCTCAGCTTTCTGTGGCACTCACTGTAGCTGACAATGTTAACTGCCCAGGTGCTCAGCAGCACTCCAGCCCGCTGGCAGCAAGCCAGCCACGTTCCTGCTGTGCAGGGAAACTGCTGAAAGGAGTAAAACCCTCCTTTTCTGCCACTTCAGCAGGCGGCCTGGGCATCAGAAACACCCGGCGTGGTGGGTGGGGAGAAACCCAGGGGTGTGAGTTTTAGGGGTTTCTTATCCCCGATTTATGGTAACACCTCTTGTGCCATTGCTGGGCTCCCCCAGGCAGAGCCGGGGTCCATCCTCTGCCCCCTCCCTGCAGGCACTGACACACATGGATGAGGGCCCCTCTCAGTGTCTCCTCTGGAGGCTGAACAGCCCCAGCTCCCTCAGCCTTTCCTGCTCCCAGAGATGCTCCATCCTTGCTGGACCGGCTCCAGGAGTCCCGTGTTCCTCCTGTGCTGAGGAACCCACAGCTGGATTCCAGATGTGCCTCACAGGGCTGGGCAGAGGGGCAGGATTCCTTCCCTCCCTGACCTGCTGCCAATGCTCTTCCTGATGCCCCCCAGGATCCCATTGGCTTCTTGGCCCCCAGGACAAACTGCTGGCTCAGGGACAGCCTGTCGTCCCCCAGGCCCTTCACCGCAGCGCTGTTCTCCAGCAAGTGCCCCCCAGCCTGTACCGGTGCTCGGGGTTATCCCGGTGCCTGCCCCCTCGCCGCATCTGGACCCGCCCCACACGCGGCCCGAGGCCTGCGCGGGGTAAACCCTTTGTGACGGGGTAAATCGGCCCGGCTTCGTGTGCCGAGGGTGCCGCTCCGGCCCGTGCCCGTGGCGGAAGCGGCGGGCCGGCAATGCCGGGGGAATCCTCAGGGAAACCCGCCGGAGCGACGGTGGGGAAGGGGGGGGGCGTTGTCACGGCAACTCCCGCCTCGCGCGCGGCCGGGGGAGGGACTTGTCACCACGGCAACCTCGGCCACGCCCCCTCCGCCCCCCATCCCTTCCTGCCGGGGCGGCGCGGGCCAGGGAGGGAAGGGGCGCGCGGGCGGGCGGGCTCCGCGCATGCGCAGCGCGCGCCGGCCGGCGGCGCGTGTGTTGTGTTGCGGCGGCGGCGGCGCAAGATGGCGGCGCCCGGGGGCTCGGCGGGCGCCGCGGCGCTGAGGGCGCTGGTGCAGCAGTTCACCGCCATCACCGGTGGGTGCGGGCCGACGGGCGCGCCTGGGAGGCCGAGGGCGGGGCCCGCGCGGCCCCCCTGTGCCGGCGGGCCGCGGGGCGGGAGGCGCGGGCCGAGGCGGAGCGGTTCCGGGCGCGCTGCCCCGCGGCCCCCGGGCCTGTCCGCAGGCGCGCCCCGGGGCCCGCCCGCCGCGGCGGAGCTGCTCCGGGCCTCCTCCGGCTTTCTGCGCGGCGGGGAGTCCCCCTCCCTCCCAGCGGTGGCTCGGGGTTTCCTCCCGGTTATCCCGGTGCGTGTCCTGCTCCCTCCGCGCTCCTCCTGCTCTCCCTCCCGGCTCCGCTCCGCCCCGGGAGCCCCGTCCCGCTCCGCCGGGGAACGCCGAGAGGGGGACCCCAAGTCCGCCTTTGAAAATACGTAATTATTGTGCGGTGCCGGCGACTTGCGGAGGGTTGAGTTTGCTCGCGGAGGTGGCAGGTCGCTCTTACGTGGAAGTTTGCGTCAGGTGACAGCCCCTGACAGCGCCGGGCTGTGTACTCGGAGCGCTTGACCCACTTTGTGCTTAATCTGCTCCGCTGTGGTTCCCCCTCGCTGATGGCTTTGCGTGTCTGATGCTGCAGGGATGTTTAATAAGATGTATCAACTAAACAGCCAAAAAGAAACGAAACTGCGTTTGACTGGGTTGCTCGAGCCAGCTCCCGTTCAGGTTGTGTCCCTGGCCAGTGCTCTTCCTGCCCCCCCAAGGATCCCATTGGACACACTCAAACACTGAACAGGGATGTGAACGCCCCGTGTGAACGGGGAAAATCACTGATCTCTCAGCTGTCTCTAAATTCTTTCAGAGTAAACCCCGTGAACAAAAAGGACTTGCAGCAAACATGTTTTCACTGTAGTATGTGCCTGTGTGTGAGATACCTCCTAAAAACAACCAGGACAGGCAGAGCTGTGCTAGTTCGCTCTTCCTGACATATGTATATTCTTCTGTGTTTTATGTTAAATGGGAGAACACTCTTCTTTATGTTTTCTAAAATGAAAAAAAGAACCTGCTGGGCTTTGCCCAGTTCTGAAGCTTTGTTTTTTTCCGTTTTCATAGAATTTAAGGTTGTATCCAGAAGTGTGTTGTTAGTGTGGTGTGGCAGGTGCTCCAAGTTCACACCTCAGTGGTCTGTGTTAGCAGCTTCCAGCTTGGAGCTGTGTGTGTATGGAATCACTCCTGTCTGGGGGGAAAAGACTGAGGGATTTCTCTGCAGTGTAGGATAGGAAGGGATGAGGAGAAATAGTCCTTGATACTTTTCTTTTATCTGATGGCAGAGTTGTGTTTATGTAGCACTCTCATCCCGAAGAGTACTGCTAAGAGGATGTGGATCCTGCATGTCTTCCCAAGGAAATGATGGGATCTCTGTGAAATTTGCTTTGAAACTTACCAAATATTTACCATTTTCTGTTTGCCAGCACAAGAACTGAAAGCTTTCACGTGATGGCACTTTCCTCAGGAGGGATGAGGAATCAGTGCAAGCACTTTGTGTGTCGGTGTCTCTGTAAATAGCAGAGGGTTGAATTATCATTTTCATTCTAGTTCTTGTGAATGAATGGTTTTGCATGACTGTACAGTGAGGTGTGGGGTGGTGTGTGTGTGTCCCAGACCCACAGGTGTGGTTTCATTGCTACAGTTGACATTGAAATGAGCCAAAAATGCCAAAGAACAGTTTGTGGGAAGAACGCGTTGTTTCTTGGGACGTCACTAGTTTTTATTTTGCACTTTCTTCACCTTGATTAAGGTCTTACAATACAGCTGCCTGCCATGCTGGCACCTTTGTCACAGCAGGTCAGGTGTTTGGGACGCCAGTTCCCTCAGTCAGTCTGGCCTTGTCTGCGATTTGATATGCAGGTTATTTAGAACGGGTTGCTGTCAGCTCAGTTTCAAAGTCCGTTTGAGCTGGAGCTTCTTGAGCCTTTCGCAGAAAATCTTGAGAAACACCCAAATGTGTTTGCCCAGACTGATGTTATCTGTGAGCCTGGATTTTGGGCAAAGCGTTTTGTTCGTTTTGGTGAACTTGGAGGAAGAATTACTACAGATCCCGAAGCTGCTCCCAGACTGGTTTAGCTGCATTTTACTGCTGTTCCTCTCTACCAGCCTTTCCATAGGAAAATAAGCTCTTTGGCAGCCCACCACCTGTGGAGAAGGGGCTGAACTCAGTAGACACTTCAAGGGTTGGGTGCAGGAGAGCTTCCTTTACTGAGGGAGCTTCTGCTGACAGGATGGTTTTGGAGGGGAAGTTGGGAAGTAGACTCTTCCCTCTGAGGAGAGGGTCACAACTGATTTTGGGAACTGCTCTTTCATCCTTGGCAGCAAGGTTTAAACTGGGATTAATTGCACTTTAGGA